ACCTCTCCTCCCACCCCTGTAACATGCACTGGCAGCATCCCCCCTCCCATTAAAGTCTAAGGGCGGACAAAACGCACCAAGTTGCATAGGCACCATAGAGAATAATGTAATTTCCATTGTCGTGCATAGTAGCATAACAGCAGACATGCAACAAATTGCACTAGCGTGAACGGAGACTGGTTAGGACGCTGTCACTCTACTATAGGAACTGTTTCACTGTCAGGATCGCCAGGTGAAAATAACAGAAAAGAACTAATGCAATGCAAACTAAAACTAATGCAGCAACACAGTCAGAGAACTGCTGCTTCCAGCAAAGATTTTTGAGACAGATGTGTAGTCTTAGACAGGTTCCCTTTAAAAGCTATTTCCATCCACTAATGAACACATTCATGGACAGTACGTAGTATGGTGCAGGGGTAATCTTTCCACTGCTCTTCTGTCTGCATAGTGTGGAGCACACCTGAAATATGAACCTGCCAGAGACCTACCCAAACCAGAGTTCAGAATGGACAGTTTCTTTAAATGATCACAAGAAGGCATCATCATCATCTGAGCTCGCTTGGATCTCACCCCACCACTCCACCAGCCTCTGCTTCACTCTCATTACAAATTTACAAATTTTAATTTTAAGAGCCACATTAACAAGAGAATGACATTTCATATATCAGCATCCTGAACGCCTTTCAGAACCCATTAGGATCTTCAGAAGTGCAGGCTAATTTGCGGTGTAAGAGAAGCGCACTAAGGCATTTGGAAAGTGTTCCTCGGCTTCACCTTACACCGATCAATAGTCATTAATCTGCGGGAGGTTCCTGTAAAGGACTGTTCCGGCTTCCTGGAAGAGGAGAGCGCGGCACTGTGTCTCCGAAGTGCGCTCAGACACGGCAGCATTGGCCTGATGTACACGGATATCTTATCCCGGGCCTGTGATGAAAAACACTGTTTATTCAGCATAGGAAATCATCCTGCGAGTCAGGAAAATGCCTTGAAGCACTGGGGCTCTGGATTGAATTCTTGAGCAACAACTGAAGGGATACTTAGCTGCTGAAGTGTATTTTTTAACATACATAAAAGCAGAAATAACGGGGTCATGACTACAAGAATTTAAAGTGAAAGCTCTGAGGGAGTCATCCTGAAGCACAGGCTTCACCACTTATTGAGTCACAGGCTCAAAGCAAGCAAGCAAGCAGGCAGGGAGTGAGGACATACCTGGATGCACAGCAACTTCGGGTCAATCATTTGCTAAGTACTGATTTCTGGGGATGACAGTCTGGAAGTTGTCAAGTGTCACGTCATCAGAGCGACCTTTTCGGAACAGCAAAGTCCCTTCCACAGGCAAAACAGATCATTAATGATCTGTTTTGCCTGAGGAAGGGACTTTTCTGTTCCGAAACGTCGCTCTGATGATGTGACACTTGTGAAGTCAATAAACATTGACTTTTCTACATGCTGGAGTGCTTGTGACCTTTTTTGAAATTTTTGGATTTATTCTGCGGAGGCATCCGCGGTCCTTTCTATCCGGTCAGGAGTGCAATGAGTCTGTATGTTTTTTGAATTTAGTCTGGGAGTTGTGACACATCCAGTTTCATTTTCAGCAGGATTCATTCCCCAGACACTGATTGTGACCTCTATTCCTCCTATGTAAATGGCTGCCAGTCTGATGATTTACAATTTAGTCAGAATTTGTGAATGGATGACAAGTTCATTATGGGGCGCACTTGTCATTCACCTGTATGGCCATGACCATAATTCTTAGTGGTTTTGTTGCAAATGATGGAAAGATCAGCAACCGCCATTTGTGAGCCAACCGATTAACTGTCCACTGTCATAATCTTAATTCTTCTCTCCTACACATGCTGCCCGCTGTCATATCATCTACACCAGTGGTTCTCAACCTGTGTAACTTCAGGACCCACATTTGTCCTTGGTCATTAAGTCACCACCCAAGTTGCACCCCACTGGAACACACGGCATTGCGGTACCGCATGTTGTGGTGCGGGTCATCGAACTGTGGATGGGAGGTGCGTTTAAGGTGCTATTCAAATGAATGGCAATGCAACGCACCTCCCATACCAATAGCATGGGACTGTGTGATTAACACACTGTACTAGTGTGAACGGGCCCTCACAAACACTGACAAACACACACAACCACAGGCACAATCTCACACACTCACTAACATTACCACACACACATATACTGAGCGGCCAGTTTATTATGACTACCTGACGTTTGTAGGCAAATTAGCTATAATTTCGCGCTGAAGTTGCTAGCGGGCCAGACCATTATAAATAGGGAAGCAGGTTGTTTACCACGACAGTAGAAGTGATTTTTTTCTGAAGATACGGGGAAACAACGCGATTTAACAGCCTTTGAACGTTGGATGATTGTTGGCGCTCGGGGCCGTGGAGTGAGTATCAGCAAAACAGCAGAATTCGTTAAATGTTCAATAGGGGCTCATTGTTAAAGTGTTTAAAGACTGGACTGTCAGCCGAAAATCTGGGTCTGAACGTGCGAATTGTGGCCGTCAGCGACTAGTCAATGTTAGGGCAGAACGGAGAGTGGCAGGACTGGTACAAGACAACAGAAGGGCAACAGTGCAGTGTCAGATTCCTCGCATCACCTTTCAACATCTTGTGGAGTCACAAGGCGGCCCAACAAAG